GGGCCGTGAGGGGGCCTCTGTTATTGCGGGGCTGAAGGGTTCGCGCTGTGCCCCGAGCCCTGCCCGCCCCACAGACAGCGCCGCTCTCTGCTCCTCTCTAGGATGGGGACGTGCACAGGCACCTCTACCTGCAGGGCGTCCTCACCAGCCTCGAGGAGGTGGCCGAGAGGCCCAAGTAAGTGAGGTGGGCTCTGAATCCGTCTGTCATGGCATCAAGGAATGGTTTGGGTTGGAAAATCATCTCATTCCTCCCTCCCTGCCATGGGCACGGACACCTTCTGCTCCGAGCCCTGTCCAGCCTGGCCTTGGGCACTCCCAGGGGTCCCCACAGCTTCCCTGGGCTGCAGCAGCTGGGAAAGCTCCAAGCGGGAGAGCCAAGCCTGGGGGAGAATCTTGGTCTTGCTGTCATATTTAAAAGCCAGGAAATCCTTTGAGTATAATGTGAGTTTCACCTTTGGATGTCTCTTATAAAAGCACTGGCCTAGCAGGACTGTGTTGGATGACTGAGCTGTCATCCACAACTGCAACTTTTAGCCCAGACAGCTAATTTATTAATTAATGGCTTGTTTGTCCTTCAACAGGAGCACGATCTAGATGATCGTGGAGCCATAATGGTTAATAAGTTTCCAATGGCAAATAAGTTTCCATCTGCTGGCGCCATCATGATCTTTGTTCATTGCACCTGGCATTTAATATTAAATATTAGTCATAATAAAAAGCCACAAATGTTGTGGCTGCAGGTGTGGGCCTGGTGGAAAGTGTCCCTGCCCATGGCAAGGGGCTGGAGTCAGATGAGCTTTGTGTCCAATCCAAGATAAAGTCATCTAGAGGGGACGTTTGCAGCTGAAAATAAGGCTGTAATTTAGCTTAAAGTCATTATTTCCCTGCAGGGCTCTGATTTAACTTAAAGCCCTGATTTTCCTGCAGGGCTCTAATTTAGCTTAAAGCCCTGATTTCCCTGCAGGGCTCTAATTTAGCTTAAAGCCCTGATTTCCCTGCAAGGCTCTGATTTAACTTAAAGCCCTGATTTCCCTGCAGGGTGTCCGAGTTCAGCTGCCACATCTCTGGCTGCAGCCAGGTGTTTGACACACTGGAGGGCTATGAGCACCACTACAACACCCTGCACAGGAATGTCTGCTCCTTCTGCAAGCGCTCCTTTCCCTCTGGGAACCTCCTGGACATCCACATCTTGGAGTGGCACGACTCCCTCTTCCAGATCATGGCTGAGAAGCAAAATATGGTGAGCTGCCATGCCCAGCCCTTGCCTGGTGGTTGGTTTGTGCTTGTTTTTTCCCAGTTATGTGGGTTTCTTTTCCTTTCTCCTCCCTGCCTTGCAGTACCAGTGTCTGGTGGAAGGCTGCACAGAGAAGTTCAGGAGCAGCAAGGACAGGAAGGATCACTTGGTGACTGTGCACCTGTATCCTGCTGACTTTCGGTTTGACAGGCCCAAGAAGGTGAAAAGGTAACTGCAGAACTTTCCTCTTGAGGGAATTGGAGTTGTCCAGCTCTGAGGTGACCTCACTGTGCCCTCAGGGAGCTACAGGAAACATGGAAAGACTCTTTACAAGGGATGGGGTGCCAGGAAAAGGGGGAATGGCTTCCCATTCCCAGAGGGCAGGGAGAGATGGGATATTGGGAAGGAATCCATCCCAGATGGACTTGTTTCCTCATCAACTACCTTTGATTTCCTTGGCTCTGGGCTCACATGGCAGCTCCTGAGCCAGGATGTAAAATTTTATCTCTGCAGTGGCTCCAAGCACACAAACTCTCCTGTGGAGCAGGGCAGCAGCGTGCCCATGGATGTGAGCATGGAGATGGCAGAGCAATCCCAAGGGAATGCCATGGAAACAGGGCCTGAGGAGAGCATGGAGATCTCCCAGCCTGCAGCCAGCCCCGGCCCCTCACTGCCAGAGAAACGGCTCTACAAATCCAGGTCAGTGCTCTGGCCTCAGGGCAAGAGGGGCTGGGACCACTCCAGCTTCTCAGCCCTCTGCAGCATGGCTTGGGCTGCTCTGTGCT